GTCCAACACTCGTTACCAGATCGTAAACGGTCTGGAAGGGCTTGTTGAAGCATCACCGTTGGCAAAGCGTGTGCCACCTGTTGCAATGGCATTCACCATAGGTGTACGATTTGCCAACAATATCTACGGCGGTATGCAATTCGTAGATTGGGCTAAATTGAGTGGAGTGCAATAGCAGCAGCAATGCATACCAATTAATTACTAACTATAGAGTGACAGATTTTGCTTCCAGTTCTCAAATGCCGAATGGTCGTGTCTGTTCTTTATGTTTTTGACTCAGATTTAGTCTGCTATAGATCACCCCCAAAGGAGGGGGCTAGATCATTTTTCTGGGGGCTTGATAATATATTGCTTATGTTAGTGATAAGAAACAATGTCTTGTGTTCATGAATCATGCATCATATGATCATGCCTCTCATCTACCTCAATCTTCACTGAACCATAGTAATCATAAACCCCACGAATTGACGATACTGCCACTGTGCTGTGCATCTTTGTTGCAGTGACTGCCACATGAAAACCTGGTAAGACTCTCATTTACCATGGATTCACAGCCACTGTGGCTAGTGGCAGCCTCTGATCATTTTTGGATCGCATTTGTTAATGTCTATTTTATTACTTAAAAAAAGAAATCTCCGTAATGCTTCAAGCAACGACATTTGTGATGGAAATTGATCTAATAATCTTGATGAAGTAACCTTAATTTGTTGGTTATTTTCTCTGCACTTGTGGGCTACCCTCATTGTCAAGCATAGCTTGGTTTGGTACTCTTAAGTATCTAGTGTAGGAACCCAAGTTCTTTCTCAATATGCATTGCATGGTTCAACGTTTAATGACGAAATGGGAGGGCAAAGAGAAGCACCTTTATTTTCAAAAATTGTTAAGAAACTTTTATAAGGTAGGTTATTTTTCGATGAAACCGTAACAACGCAAGCTGGTGTTTGTGTTATTTCAAAACTTGATTTTCCAAGATAATTCTTTCTAATAACATTAATTTCGGGCCTTTTACATGCTACTTTCCATTTGGTGGGCCGTACTGGGCTGGTTGGGTATTAATTTAACACTACTTTTGGGCCCCTTTAGAAGCTTTATTCACGTTTTTATTTGAATTCTTAGAATTAAATAAGCCTTGCAAGAAATTGACTTGAATTCATGCCCTATGTTGCATGGACACGGATACGGGGATACGGGAACGCGACACGGTGATACGGCGACACGGAAAATCTCAAAAAAGTAGGATACGGACACGGCTAGGACACGGCAATTAAAATAATAATTAATTCTCAATATTTCAAGACAGAGAAACAAGACTTTTATTAAAAATAAAAAACCAAATACATATAAAATCATACAAAGATACAAAACACATCAAAACAAAGAAACAAAATAAAACATGGTTCACATTCATTATGTCTAATAGTCTAATACCCAATTAATAAAACAAATTCAAATATACTCAACAACTAATAACAAGACTTTTATTAAAAATAAAAAAAGCTCCAAATAGATACAATCATACAAAATACCCACACACAAAAAACACAATAGAGAAACAAAATTAAAAATCTGTGAAGCCTAACCTGAGTTTGCAAGAAGGAATCGTCCTTCTTGGTCACGATTTGCAAGAAAGAATCGTCCTTCTTGTTGTGTTTCTCTTCAAAATAAAACAGAAGAAATAATCTTCACCTCACCACCAAATTCAACTCTTCTACTGCTGTGAAGAGGGAGATAAGAAAAGAAAATAGAGATAGA